TTTTTACTAATCGGAATGATCTGAAATTGAAGCGTGTGTACATCTTAGTGATGGCGCACCTAATAAAAATATGAAAAAAAATAATTTGTAAAATATAAATTGATCAAAATATCCCTATAAATTTTCAGGGGTATTTTAGTCTATTTATATTTATGAATTATTTTTTTCATATTTTTATTATTTGTGTCTTACTAAGATGTACACATACTCCAAATTTCAAGTAATTTTGATTTGTAGATAAAAATTGAAAATTGAAACACTACCAAACAAATGTGATCATGCGATGAAATTTAAATGGTAACGAGAGTAGCCGAAATCATTGTTTATTTTCGCCCATAGGTACGCCTTAGAAGAATGAACTTCTAAAAATTCAAGTTATTTGAATTTTTTTAAAAAACTAAAAATTTAAATACAAAATGAAATCGTGACCGTCAGATTGACACATATTCAATTTGGACCTTTGAGCTTATATGTTCATATGATCTAGTGGGCTAATCTCATTATTTTCCATATATATATATATATATATATATGATCTTATAGGACCCTCCCCACCCATGTGTGTAGAACCCAATATATATATATATATATATATATAAAAGTGAGGAATGAAAGATTTATACCAGCCATCTCCACGGATTGAAGGTGTACGGATCTGGATATAGAATTGGATCATAATTGATCTCTCTCATGTAAACATATATTTTCCACCCTTTTGGAATCAGATACCCTGCAATAAAAGAGAAACAAACACTCAGCTTCATATTCACAAATACTGTATTTCATTTTTTCATGTATAAAAAGCATGTGAAGGGAAAGAAAACAAAGAAATGTACCATTCAATTCCATGTCTTCGGTGGTCTTTCTTAAAACCCCATTAACAATTGTGGATAGTCTCATTGTTTCATAGATGACCTGCAACATAACAGAGTACTTCATCATAATCAAATTCAAGCAATTAATTTACTGGTGAGAGAAAGCAGAAGGTGAAAGACTTCATATGGAAATTACGAAAAAAAATACTCGAAGTGCTTACGGCGCGAGTAAACTCCATGGATTTGTAATCGTCCCAAGAGATAGGATCATCTGGTCCCTTTGCATTTCGAATTGCAGAGTGTTCTTCCTAATGGACCCAAGGGACAAATCATGTGTTAGGTAGGAATTCAAGGGATAGTGCTCTCTCTCTCTCTCACAAACACACACATGCCCTTGCGCGTGTGCACAAATATACTTACCCTGAGTTTTTGAAGGGCTTTAGGATGATCATATAGATATTTGACAGTCATCATGGAAGTTGTAGAGACTGTCTCATAACCAGCATAAAGAATGGCAAGCAGAAGATCAAATATTTGATCATCAGTCATTTTGAACTTTGACGGATCCTCCTCATTTTTAAGAAGGGCATCCAGCATATCAGTGTGGGACTCTTTAGAAGCCCTTCTATCTTCCATGAATTCTCTCAGAAGGCTCAAAATCCTTTGCCTCCCCTGGAAACAACCATGAATGACAAAATCAATTCATAAACCTGGCAAGAGAGCATTTAGAAAAGCTCTCTCTCTCTCTCTCTCTCTCTCTCTCTCTCTCTCTCTCTCTCTCTCTCTCACACACACACACACACACACACACACACTATATACGAGTACTACTACGTAACTAACTTAAACTAACTACTACTACGTGTACGACGTATACGTTAACGTTTACGTTACGTACTAACTAAC